ATTGTTGTTTGGCAGGTCCGGGCTGGGGATTCGAACCCGCCACCTTAGGTGTACGTGGCTGGCGCCTTAGCAGGTTGAGCTATAGGCGCCGAGCCAGCACCCTGGTTTCTTGAGAAATATTATCATTAACTCTTTGTGATTTTTTTTTCCTACTAGCTAAAAACTTTCATGATCTAACATCTGTAACTATAACTTTGTAACTGTTACTAATCTGAGGGAAAAAAGTATACAGGGTTTGGAAAGAAATATTCCCCAGAACTCAGTATTTTATGCCTCCATGTACCTGAGTTCTTGCTGGCAATTAAAAATTCCTTCTTGTATATTTTTAGTACAAATGTCTGTTACTTTCTGTTTCCTGAAACAATTTAAGTCCTAGGAACTAATAAGTTTGCAACAAGGAGAATGTGCAGTGAAAAAAGAGAATAGCCTAAGACAGAATTACAAGTAATAGCATTAAAGGAATGGGTCAAGGAAGAGTTGGTCACAAAAGTTAAAAAAAAAAAAAAAACTAGATAGGAAGAAAACCAGGATTTTCATAGAAGCTGAGAGCATAGGAATTTCAAGTAAAAATAGTAGGGGCAAATGCTACTGAGAGATCAAACAAGATGAAACAGTAAGATAAAACAAAGGAGTTTGTATGATATTTGGCAACAAGGTATTCATCTGGTGACCTTCAAAAGAACATTTTCCACAGCTCGTTTATGCCTCAGCTGGGAAGGACGTGTTGAGATTGGCATACCCATCAAGGACAATAACTACCAAGGCTTCCAGTGCTTTGGCCAAACCTCAGATGCATGGCCTCTTGGCCAGGCTCCTGCAGATTCATATTGTTGGAGCATTTGCTGTATCCTAGGCGGCTGCAGCTTTCTTTAAGTTTGCTGTGGCTGAACCAAGAAAGAAGGCATATGCAGATTTCTATAGGAATTATGAGTCTATGAAAGATTTTGAGGAGATGAGGAAGGCTAGTATCTTTCAGAGTGAAAAACGATTTTGGATCGCTTCTCGGCCTTTTGGCTAAGATCAAGTGTGAAAAACGATTTTGGAATATAAATTTCTCTGGGCTCATTTACATAGAAGTTTGTCACTGACCTGTGCTCCTGAGCCATGAATATGAGTAGTAAATAAACTATTAAGGAAAAAGAACAAAAATTTTGAATGCTATGGTAATGGGAGAAAACATTTCAGAGGGTTGTAGAGTAGGGATAATTAAACACAGTGGTTTAAAAAGATACTTTATCTTTGCTTTCATGAAATTCCACTGAAATGACAGTCCAAGAATGAAATGTCATAAACCCAAAAAGAGAATGGAAAAGAGATGCAAACAAGTAAGAGATTGTCAACAAATGTTTGGAAGCTAAAACGGGATGGATGGTGTGGTAACCAACAACAGACCAGAGAAAGCTGGATCAGACCAGAGAAAGCTGGATCAGAAAGCTAACACGCTGATTTAGTGCCACAAAAAGTTGGAAGTTTGCATGAGGAACAGCTAGATCCCCAGATCCACTAAACCAGAGACTGCTTTTCCCTCATCCTGGCAGGAGATGTGAGGTTTACTTTCTGCTGAGCTTTGACATTATATTAAAAGCAGTCTTAAAACATCTCAGCTCCCTTTCCCTGCTTGGCTTCTAGAATGCTGGCAATCAGACTTATACCCTCCACCACCCCCCCCTACACACACACACACCAAAAGCCAGGAGGTTGGAGGATTCCTTTCAAGGGAAAATGTCCCAAGAGAAA